CTGCTCCAGCTTCTCACTGCAGGATCTTCATCTCGGCTCCAGCTCCGAGACGTTCCAGCTCCCACCCCACACTCCCAATCCCAGCCCTGCAGAGCCCCAGAGCCCACAGAGAGGGTCTGAGAGCACCCCAAGAGATCACGGTGAGCCAGTGTAGCAGGGCTCTTCATCCTGGAATGTGGTCAAGCAACTCAATATTCAACTTGGTTCACACTGTCAAAACCTTATAGTCACAGCTCCTCAGGAGTGTGTGCGCTCCACAGGTTTTTTCAGGACCCACATTGCAAGCAGCATAAGGGAAGATGGGCACCAACCATCCCACCCTTTTGGTATCTCTTGTGTTACTTTTCACTGCCAGTGGCAAGCCGCCTTGGAGGGGTCTTTTCTGCAGGTACGAAAGCTATGGGACCCAGCACTGACTGTGGTGGCATCCTTGTGCTTCACAGTCCAGTTACTTCTACCTCCATGCACCTTATGGAACTTCTTTGCCCATTTTCTGTGCTTCCTTATTTTATGGTTTGCTTCCAGGTGAACCAACAGGAAATAAATGGCATTTGTGATGTGCCATGTCCAGCTGTCAGATGGGAGGCTCTTCTGCTCACAAGTTGTCTGTGCTCCAGTGTGCAGATTTGCCTGGTTTGACAGAAGGTGTTTCTCGATTTTACTGCCTTTACTGCTGTGTTTTTCATTATCAACACAGGCCATTCTTTTAACCTTTGTTCTGCTGTTTCTTCTGGTGCTCGCACACACCCATGTCCATTCACACTTTGCTCATACGAATCAAAACTTCAGTTTCAAGTCTCTGAAAGCTGATTTCACTTACTACGGAGTCAGCTGAATAGCAGAGGCAGGGCCAACAAGGAGATATTGCAGCTGCAAGTAGAGGACATCAGAGAGAAAGATGTACAGGGATTGCATTTTAAACAGTAGCAAAAGGTTGCAGCAATCCAGCTACTCTTCCAGTGGTGTCTAACTTAAACAAAGCCTTGATATTCAAGGCTGGAATCACTCACTGCCCAATGAAAATGACACCGATTTGGGACTCCTTCATGCAGTGATGTCTTTTGCCTCACCCAGTTGTGTTCTGTCACATAAACTGGTTCTGTTTGAAGTAGGTAAGGAAGTCAAGTATTGGGGCATTTATATTTGCAAAACATACCAACAAACAGAATAAATCCACCAATGTTTCTTTGTTTTCACTCAGGCCTGAACCAAAACCCTTCCTGAATGTATTTAAGTGGAGAATAGAACATGCTTGCCACGACTGCATTTGCAGCTTCTTTCTGCTTTACTTTCCTGCTCCGTGCTGATAATACTGTTCCAATGAAATATCCAGCAAAGCTCCTCAGACCAGTAGTTCAGATTTCTAAGTGGATTAATGCAGAAATGCATGTTTTCATTGGAACTGCCTGAAAAACGAAAGACAAATAAATATAAGCAAATTATTGTACAGCTTGCCTCTCTCATTATCTACTGCTTGAAGTTGGCAATACATTGCTGACTCAATGTTTGAATCATTTTCTACCTTATCAGTCAGTTCTGAAACTACCTTGAGTATGGATCTCAGTTTTATCATCCTTAACAATCTGTTGACAACCCAAGAAAGGATGTATCCACACCCAGAGCATAAACCAGTCCAGAACTATCAACTTATTTTACTAAAGCTAGACCTGACAAATGTGGCAAACTTCTCCTTCTACCTCTCCTTTTTCTATTGTTTTTCAAAAATAATTTCATTTGTTCAAGTATCATAGCAAGGGGGCAGATATGGGGAAATGTGCACAATGAAAAGATTGCTATATAACATTCAGCAACAAAGAAAGAGCAAAACCACAGGCAGTCCCACCTTGGCCTTATTCCTGGAGGTGGTTTTCTCTCTATGACCTGAGCAGTGACTGTGACTGTGTAGTTTCACATGCCTTTCAAATCAGGCATCAGCAACAGGCAACACAGGCTGTCATTCACTTTATTTTCAAGGTAAACTTCCTGATCCAGAGGGAGCAGTTGATACTGTTCCTGAAGCTTACATTGCCAACGAGTTGCAGTATGAAAGCTCATCTCAAACGGATTTAGTCCTCAACTTTCTCCCCATCTTTTTGATTCAGTATTTGCTGACAAATGCCATCACTCCAAACGTCACCCCTTTCCTTCTTCTCCCCCCTGCCCCCAGCTTCATATACTGAGCATGATGTTGTACGGTATGAAATATCCCCTTGGGCCATTTGGGGTCACCTGTCTCAACTGTGCCTCCTCCCAGCTTCCCACGCACCCCCAACTTCCTTGCCAGCATGGCAATATGAGGAGCTGAAAAGGCCTTGGCTCTGTGTAAGCCCTGCTCAGAAATAACAAAAACATCTCTATTATCAGCCTTGTGTTGAGCACAAATCCAAAACACAGCCCCACACCAGCCACTGTGAAGAAAATTAACCCCACCCCAGCCCAAACCAGCAGAGCTTCACAGCCCTGCCAGGACACCCACTGCTGCAACCAGCACTGATCAGCAGTTACTGTTAGTCGGGAACAAAGAAAAGTAACGGCATAGCTACATAAATACTACAATTATTTGGGTATGCTATGGGGTTTTTTCCTACATTATATGCTTAATGATCTGTACTAGATTCATGTTAGGTTTATGCAGAGAGCAGAAGTCAGCAAGTAGATGAGGAAATGTGGCTGCCCCATCCCTGAAGTGTCCAAGGCCAGGCTGGACGGGACTTGGAGCAACCTGGTCTAGTGGACCATGGCAGGGGTGGAACGAGATGAGCTTTAGGGTGCCTTCCGACTCAAACCACTCCGTGATTCTATAACTACACGAAACTCCCACATTCCTTTCAATCACCTCTCGCATATTTGTTTCCCGGGTGATTTTCAGCCAAAGAAGCCTCCAGGCTGGGCGGTTTCCTGCCTCCTGCCCTCTGCTTTCGTTTTCGATTCCTGCCGAGCGCGGCCGGGCGGCGGAGCCCCGCTCCCGCCTTCGGTCCCGCCCGCTGCCAGCCCGCTCCCGGTGCCGGTCCCAGGGCGCTGCCGTCCCGCGGAGGGCAGGATGAGCGACCCGGCCGTGTGCTGCTTCCTCACCCGGGCGCTGTGCGCGCAGGGCGGGCGGCTGGGGCTGCCGGAGCTGCAGCAGCACGCCGGGCTGTCGGCCCCGCAGCTGGCCGAGACGCTGGCGGCCGCGGGGCCCCGGCGCTTCCTGGTGCTGCGCGGCAGCGCCGAGGTGCTGGCCCTGTCCGACGTGCGGGTCTGTGCCCGCAGGGACTGCGGCGGCTGCGAGCGCCTGCACCTCTGCAAACAAAACCTCATGGGCAGGTGCCACCTGCGGCCCAGGTGAGCGCGGGGAAGGGGAGGGAGGGGATGGCCCCCCAAGCCCCGCACACCCCCCGCCCCGGGGACAGAGGGCAGCGGTGCCCCTCGGGCACGGCCGCGGGGCGGGAGATCCTGGCTCCGGAAGGACTCGCGTCCTGCCCTCGCGGAGTCGGTAAAAGCCCCAAGTGCCCGCGGTAGGTGGCTTTAGCCTGGTTTTCTTTGTCAGTATTACGATTGCTTTGTTTTGTTTTGTTTTAAATCCGCTCGCCTCCACACCCGTCCCTCAGCCCCCGGGCATCTCGATGAAATAGTTTACACATACGTCTCTCCAAAGTAAAAAGCAAAGTGCTAGCATGCCCTCTGGTTTCACTCCAGAGAGTTACAAACGTTGAGTTTTGCTGTAACTCACCGCTTCGCTCACAGACCTTTCTGTGAGAGGCACTGCTTGATCGCCCATGTCCATCAGTCCCGGCTTCCGGAACACGGAGGACTCCCGGGAAGGGCAGGGCAGGCAAAGGTGGTACCTAGTATAAAAACATTAAGATAAAGGAAAACGAAAGCAAATACAGAAGAAGCAACCCAGAAGCTTTCCCGTGACAATCAGTGGCAACAGTGAGCTCTGATGGAAGAATCTGCAGTTTAAGCCCTCAAGCCCCAGGTCCTGTACTGTTGCAGTGTTACTGACCTGCTGGTACCCCACCGGCTCCTTCCTGTTCTGCCCCAATAAAACACATGGCTGTGTGCTCGGATCTGAAGAGCTTGGAGGGGAAAGGCTGTGTCTCTCAGAGTGCACTAGCAAACCACTAGCATAATAAGATTTTCTTACTGTTTGTTGCATTACTGACAGAACGATGAGCTGCCCTGGGATTCACTGTCAGAAATGCCTTCAGGTGCATGTAGGCACTCATGCTGGAGGACTCTGTGAATTAAAACATGCAGTGAGGTGATTCCCTTAGTAATGATAAACCACTCTGTCCTCTCAATAGCACTAAGTATTTAAAATCACCTTGGTATGTGTTAAAAATTAATAAAGCGAAGAGTATGCCTTTCATGGGAGGGAGGTTGATTAAAATGAGGGGACAGAAATACTGCTAGGTGGACCACATAGATCAAGAGAGAGACAATTTTTTAACTGATAAGGTAAAATCTAGCCTTGCTTCCAGACTTTGCATCCTTTTTGTTTTAGAATCCCTGGAAAGAAAAACGTCTGTACAAGTTACTGTGGTCTTCCATTTAGTGGAATCACAATTTTAGTCCAGTTAATCTTTTTTTTAACTGTCTCGCAAGTAGCTTTTCACTGTTTTGTTTTTCTTTCCTGAATGTGTTACTGAACTCAGTTGTTTAGTTATCATTGTATTTGTGGAGTGTTTTAACCTTTGACTTAGAAATATGGACTCACTGTGTGACTGTTGGGGGAATCTGAAGTCAACTGTGGAGGAATACAGCTCAAGTACTCTGTAGCTTACCTACCTCCACAGCCATTCATTGAGTGCCTGCAGCACCTAACAGCCTTAGGAGACTGTTTCTCAGCATCAAAGCTGGCACGCTTCTGCCCTTCAGACTTTACAACCTTGTTTATTTGCTTACAAAGCAACGTGTGCAACAGGTAGCAGGGGTCAGGGGAGAAATGTCTAGTCAAGTGTCTGTACAGAAGGATTGGATCAGACACAGCCTGAGGTAAAAAAGCTTTCACAAGGTGAGTTTCAAGAGTTAACTAGAGGCTGAAAGAGTATAGGGATCATAGACTTGACTCTGGAGTCAGATTAACAGATACTTTTGCTGGATTAGTATGTCTAGTCTTAAGGCTGCATCAAATCACCTGTTAGAGAGCAGGACATGAAGAACCTGTATTTTCTTGTTTCATTTTGGTTTGTTGGTTTTGGTTTTTGGGGAGATTTTTGGCTTGTTTGTTTTGTTTAAAAAAAACCAAACTTTCCAGCCAGCAAAGATAACAAATTGTGTTGTTTTCAGCTTCATTATCTCTTTGTTTTGCTCTCTTAGACTCTTGCATCTTTCCTTACATGCCATCCCTGGGACAACAACCTTTTACATTCACAGAATCAAGGGTGTTGCAACCTCCGGTGTTGTTGGTGCATTGCTCTAAAATTAACCTTCCCTCCAGCTGTTCAGATCATGTGACACTGACTTGTATTTTACTGGAGGTGAAGAATGTGTGGGATAGACAGACTTGGCTTCAAATTTGTGCTGCTAAGTTTTTTTAAAGTGGTGTGGCCACGTCGGTGTTTAAAATGGGGATGATAACGCTCCTGCATTTCACAGAGGAGTGATGCTGTCTGCTCTGTTCTCTGGCTAATTGCAGAGACCACCTAAATGTTTACAGGGACTTTTGCCAAGTCCCCTTTCTCTCATGGCTTTTCTGAAGTTGCAAGTCCTCTGAGGTTCTTCTTTAAATCAGCCTGACTCATGGAGTAAACATTGATATGTCTGTCTGTTTTCTTGCAGCTCTTGTAAGTACTCGCATGACATCATCAGTGCTGAGAACAAAAAAGTTCTAAAAAAACATGATTTGTCTGGCCTCAGTGAGAATGAGCTGCGAGTCCTGCTTCTCCAAAATGACACTTTCTTCCTCCCTGATGTGAGTTGTACTGATGTCTTAAAAGAAGCTTTTTGTTCACTGGGAATGGGAGAGGGTAACAGAGAATGTGGAGTTCTGATCTCAACGTCAACCTGTTAAAGTGTAACAGGATTAGTTTGAATGAAGTAGGAATGGGGATGGCTATGTGTGAAAGCATCAGAAGAAACAATATAAAGGCCATAAAGTTACTCAAAGCAAGCAAATAAAAATGTCAGCAGCTTCATTAGAGGTTTACAAAGGGTGAGGTAAGCAAGATACAGCTGAAAGACCACAATAATTGTAATGCTTACAGGATAAGAGGTATAACCAAAAACCCAGTTTGTTGCTTCTTCTCCAAGAGATGATGGAGACTAGGAAGCGAGGTCCCATTTCCTTTTCCAGTCTTCCTCGGCCTGCACATTTTGGTGCATGAAGGTCTAAGGGAATGAGAAAAATCTATGAGAAAATGACCAAATGACTGCATTCATTTTTGTGTAAAATCTGCCTCTTCCAAAGTGCACACTGAGTTTTCATACAGTAATTTTCTATGGAGTTACTTTGTCCAGTTTGTATGCCAGTCACCAAGTTTGTTAAATTGGGCTGCACATTCCATTCTGGGTCTTTGTGTGTGTATAAGGGCAATACTGTCTTCAAAGTAAGTACAGCCTGTTACCCTTGTCTTTTGCAGGTTATAATCTCCACAGATCTGTTGACATAACAGTTCTATTGTTTCTTTATTCCCTGCTGTGACAAAACAGATTTTTCTTTTTGTGTAGCATTTTAAAGTGTGTTGTGCTGGCAGATTCAAGGAGCATGGTGGCAATAAGCAAGGGGGATTGTTCCCAGGAATGAACATATAGTAGCAACCATCACTGGTTGGTATTACCCTAACGCTCTACTGTGGGTCTGTTCAGCCCTCACCACCCATTAATTACCTCTAATTGATCACCTTAACTGCTATCCTGCAGTAAAATAGCCAAAACAAGAGAAAACCGTGATTGACGCAGGCCCTTCATAAACCTGAGAGCTGGGAAGAGGGATGGAAACCAACTTGGCTGTTTCCTGCTTAGAAATGCTGACTGGTTGTGTGTGTGAGGACATGGCATGTACAGAGCTCTCAAGCAAGGGGACACTGTGGTATTCTGTAACCTGAATTGGGGTGCAGGGTAAGGAAAAAAACACAACAGCACCATAATGTCAGGGATTTCCACACTTTCCCTCACCTTCTTTCTATCTCCCTTTTTTTTTGGTTGGTTTGGGGTTTTTTGGTTTTCTTGTTGTTTTTATTTGTTTCTTGGCAAAGGCAAGGGACAGCTGCTTTCTGCAGCTAAATAGTGCATTCCCTATTGTCATGTTTTTAAACCCAGACAGCAGCTAAGTACCATGCAGCCACTTGCTCACTCCCCCACCCTGGTGGGATGGGGAGGAGAACTGGAAAACAGGTAAAACTTGTGGATTGAGATAAGAATACTATAGTAATTGAAATGGTGTGGAATATCCCTTTGGCCAGTTTGGTCAGCTTTCCTGGCCATGCTTTCTCCCAGCTCTTTGTGCCCTATCTCACTTACAGAGCACGGGACACTGAGAAGTCCTTGACTGCAGTGAGCCCTGCTCAGCACCAACTAAAACAACTCTGTGTTACCAACATTCTTCTCATCTTGAATCCAAACCACAGCACTGTACCAGCTACTACAGAGAAAATTAACTCTATCCCAGCCAAAACCAGGGCACTTACTTCACTGAGGCAGCATTGCTTCTGGTTTGGTAGTTTATTCCGCTGTTCCTGTGTAAAAATTTCATCCTGCATACTAACATCTTTTAATGCATCTTCCTCCAGGTGCTCTGTAGAATTGTTCTCAGCCAGATTCAGTGTTCTTAAAACTCTGAGAGCTTCAGTTTGAAATTTAAGTGGCTGCAATCTCCACTACCCTAAAGTGGTAATTTGTGTAATGGACACTCCATACAAAATAATCAGTTATTACCTGATTTTCTATTTTAGTTGCTTTTTTTCCCTATTCTCTTGAGCACCAAAGCAATTCCTGTGCTCTGGCCCCTGAAACCAGTGTTTGACATCAGTTTTATGCCTTTTTCAGTAATTCTTAATTCCAAGTTCAGGCTGTGTGACAGACGCTATGAATCCAGTGAATAGTTGTTTTGCAGCTGAAACAGGCCTGATTTTCCAGTTTCTAAGCACTGCCATCCCAGCAATCTATAATTCCCTAGCTGATATATAAATCCATATATATTCAGCTTCAATGCAGCATTAAAACTGTCTGCTGGTGGGAAGAGGGGTTGGGAGGGGACCTGTGAGGGTCCCAGTGTGATGTGTCTGCCAGCCAGCTGTGTGTCCTCCTCAAAGAAGCTTTCTTCTTAAGGCTGCTCCTCTGTGCTGCAGGAGCAAAAGTGTTGCTGTGGTGCTTGGTGGACAATATGAAGGAGGTTTTGGTGTGTGATTTGTTCCCTGATTCACTGCTTATCTCTTCTTTGGTGAATAGAGGAACAAAGAAGTGTTTTGCTTTTTCCATACGTACTCTAATCTCAAAGCATTCTTCTGACCATTTTTGGAAGCCCAAATCTTCAATGCAGAATAAACTTTACAAATAGGAAGTGCAAATTCAGTTTTATGCAACTGTCTTGCACCCTTTTTTGGCACTTCCATGCTTGCTGGATTGGCTTTTCTTGAAACAAAAACTGCACAACTTCAAAACCAAAAATGCATGAATCGGCTTAAAATACCTGCTACTCTGTGCAAGAAATCTGTCTAGATTGCAGAAGTCACAATGACCACGTGCTTTTTAGTCACCATTTTTCTGCTCTTAAAGCTGCATGCCTATGGAACAAATAAAAATTCTAATGTGCTTTTCCATTTCATCTTGTATCCTCCCCACTTCTAGACCTGCCAATTTTACAACAAAAAAGGTGGTGTCTGCATGCAGCAAAACAACTGCAACAAGCTTCACGTTTGTCGACACTTTCTCCAGGGGGAATGTAGATTTTTGCCATGCATGAGGTCCCATAACCTCTTGGATGGCCATGCACTGAGAGTGTTGGAAGCTGCAGGCATTGATGGGAAAATAGCTTCGAACCTCCAGATTATATATGATTACAAGCACGTGGAATTCAACAGGGAACTGAAGAAGGGAAATGGTAAGTTGTAAGAAACACTGGGCTTAGACAGGATTTTGAATTTGATAGAGGTAGAAACATCTCAGCTAAACCCCATCATCCTTTTGGTGCTTTCAGTACACAACTACAAACCAAGGGGAAATCATTTGAAACAAACAGTAGTTACAAGGAGTAAAGAACCTAAGGTACCTTTGCAAACCATGGACTCCACGCTGCATGTGCCACCTCCAGAAGGTAAATAGATATAAGTACCAACTGCTTCCGTGTGGAATCAGCTTTTGTATTTCCCCTCTTGCAATGTGTACATATTTTTTTCCTCTATGCCATTATCTACTTTCCGGAATTAAGTCATGGCTGAATCATGTGGGAGAACTGCACTATTATTGCCTAAAATACTGCACACAAAATAGCTATTGAGTGGCTGGCAATAACTGTGACTAGCTAGGGTTTGCAGCTGTTATAACTCATCTGTTTTATCAGCAGTGGAGCACAATTACATGTGTGATGGACATGACTCTCCACACAGATTGGGATACTGCCAGCTCGCTGAGCTCCTGGCCCAGCAGTGCTGTTCATTCAGTCTTCTCCTGCAGGTCCTGGTAGCACCCTGCCTGCTCAGAGACAACAGCAGTTGCCAACAGGAGCTGGAGGTAAAGATGAAGGTATGGATTGTTTCTAACAGTGTAGCCATGAGATCAGTGGTTCTCATTGGGATTAGATTTCCCCCAGGGGCAGTCAGAATGCAGCTCCTGTGCTTACCTTACAGTACGCTGAGAGCCGCAGTGCTGGACAGCGGAGCAGCGTTGGCATTTCTGCCCAAGCACCACCACGAGGAGTAGCCTGGGACTGATCTCTGTACTGCCCTGGACACAATTCTTCCTTCCTGGGAAGGAGACAGATATCTTTCTTTGCCTTCTGTACCTGGGGAGTAAATATAGCTTTGTCAGTAGAGCAGTTATCTTGATATACCTTCCAGTGGGTGAATAGCAACTGGTATGTCTCCTGTCCTGGGCCTTGGCTTTAAAGCCTGCCAGAGTCCAGTACTCTCTGAACAGGTTCTTTTAGATATCCCACATATGGATGGTGTAATGTTTAATATCAAATTCTGTGTGATGGACATAACTCTCCACACAGATTGGGATATTGCCAGCTCGCTGAGCTCCTGGCCCAGCAGTGCTGTTCATTCAGTCTTCTCCTGCAGGTCCTGGTAGCACCCTGCCTGCTCAGAGACAACAGCAGTTGCCAACAGGAGCTGGAGGTAAAGATGAAGGTATGGATTGTTTCTAACCCTCCAGTCTTGAGCTGATGTGAAGACAGTTGGTGTTATGCAGGTGTTGTGGACAAGCCTCAGTGAGCACCACAGAGCCACTCACTTCCCCTCGACCCCCAGTGGGATGGGGAAGAGAAAAGAAAGAATAAAAACAAGAAAGCTCAAGATGGGAGAGGGAGAAGAACCCCGATGGATAAGCAGAAGAAGAAAACAAAGCAAAAGCAGTGATGCAAAGGCAGTCATACACCACCTCCCACACACAGGCTGATGCCTAGCCAGTTCCTGAGCAAAAGATAGCTAACCCTCATAAAACTCCCTCTTTTCCTTTTATGGCTGACCATTATGCTATATGGTATGCAATATTTGGTGAGTTTGGGTTCTCTGCCCAGTTGTGTCCCCTCCCAACCTAGTGTGCACCCCCAAGTCTATTCACTTTGGGGGCAGGGTGAAAAACAGAGGTGGCCTTGATGCTGTATATCACTGTTCAGCAAAAGCTAGGGCTTATCAGGGTGCTAGCAGCATTGTTTGGGTCAAAAATCTAAAACACACCATCATATGAGCTGCTATGAAGAAAATTACATCTTATCCTAGCCAAGTCCAGTACAGTGACATTTCTGATGTAGTGGAGTTTCCACTGGAAACAAAAAACAAAGTATAAATGTTTACTTACCAAAACATAGCAGTTGCCCAGTTCAATCACAATGCTAATGTCACCCCCATTACAGGTCTGTATAATATGCTCATTGTCACAAAGCTGGGTGTCCCCAGTCTCTGGGAAGGGCTGAAGCCAGCTGAAGCCTGTTGCTGTCTCGAGAATTCTTTTGTGGGATGAAGTACGAAGCAGTGTCTTTCTCTCGAAGCAAATAAGGACTGATATGTTCTTTCCTGTAGATAAAAAGGACAATTCCTCTGCTGAAGCTTCAAAGGACAACAAAGAAGTTAACTGTGATGAGATCTGTGTGTTCTATGTCTGGAAGTACTGCAAACACAAGGGTAAGCTTTATAAAAAGTAATGTAGTCACTGGAGAACAATGACTGCAGAGACAGGCCCTGCTCAGTGGCTCGGGCGAGTGGTGGCATATGGAGTGTCAGTGACAATTGTGCCTTCTCACTCACTCACTGGAGAAACAACCCCTCCTGTTTTCAGCACTGTCTTCATTGCTCACACCAAAGCTCAGGGAGAAAGCCTCGAGGTGTAAAATCTGCTGGTTCCTTTTTGGGTTTTGTTGTTTTGCTCTCTGTGTTATGATTACAGAATTCGACTATGTCTGATCTTATTACAGATAAATGCAAATCTGTTCATTACCATTTGCCATATAAATGGGAGGTACATGATGGGATCACCTGGAATGACCTTTCCATGATGGAGGAAATTGAAAAGGCCTACTGTGACCCAAAAAACAGCAGGTATAGTGATGCTGGACTCCTTGCTTGCAGTACTGTGATTGAACCCCAGTGGAAAAACTCCCATTTTCTTCCAAAGATGTCTGACTTCTATAACTTCTGGCTACTGAGCCTCTCAGAATCTGGGAGGATGTACAAATGAGAATTTTTCCTTTTAAAAAGCAAAGTAAAAGTGATTGCATGACAATATCACCCCATTTATGTCTTCTAAAAATAACAAAATTGTATCTTACATTTAAAGCTTTGTGCAGGGTAAAAAGCGAGTGGAATACAGTGTTTAGAATATCAGCACTTCAGATAATGAATCATAATTTATTTACAGTAATGAAGTTGGGCCTTTTAACAACATATCAGAGCTGGTCCTTCTCTGTGGCTGTTCTTTTCCTACTACAGCTAGTATGCGTAATAAAAATAACAACAACAACAACAATAATAATAGCAATATCTGTTGTGTGCCTAGAGACATTTTATGAGATGGCCCTTGTGTAAGCAGCATCTCTCTTTTTTTTCCTGTTTTTCTTTCTATTTTAAGTCCTTTCTGAAAAGCCCCACTGTGCCACCTGGATTCATAGGGGACCCCAAGCCTGGCTTCGAAAAATGTATAGTAATTTTGGCCTCTTAAGGCAACAGATGACTTTGAACTGCATCTTGCTGGATGGTGCAGATCACAAGCAAGATTCACAAGAGGAGGCTGCTTTCAAAGTCTTCCTGCCTGGGAGTTAACTTTTCAAGCCTCGCAGGAGTAAGAGCCCAGAGCTCCAGTGACAAATACACTTTGCAGACCTCACAGCTGTGATGGTTGTGATTGCATCCTTTGTAACCACAGGAAAAGAACTAAGCTGATAAGCTGCATGTACCTACAAAATTCTGGTTTTGTACTGAGACAAACTGGAAACTTTCCTTATTGCAGAGTACCTTTTGCCATGCTGTACTTGAGGTCCTATGCTGTCTGTAAAGCTGGCAGTGCCACATATGGCCAGTGACTGAGATGGCATTCCATGTCTCACAGGCCATAGTTTGCTTATGAAGCTTGGAAATGGCTTCCAGAGCTGTCATGTGCTGTGGAAAATACTCTTGTTCAGGCCTAATTAAGTAGTTCAGTCACGTTATATTAAAGAAAATTGCACAAGCCTAAACAGAGGATTAGAGGATAAAAGATCTACTGTTAACTGTAAAAACCCTGAATTTGTCCTTACAGCTTAGCAGGCAGGAACATTAACTTCCAGACAATGACCTGCTTTTCTTATCCGGTTCGACGCCTCTCTACACCATCCTCAGTCACAAAACCCACATTCGTACTGACCACCCAGTGGATTTGGTATTGGAAGGATAACCAAGGCCAGTGGATTGAATATGGAGAGCAGGTGAGTTCATATCTTGTGCTTTGAGTCACTTCTACAGGAATATGTGGAGCCTCTCCCCCCACTCCCCTTTACTCAGCAGGATTAATTAAGTGAATCCTTGTGCTTGAATTTTACAGTGTCAGGTAAGGCAGCAAAGCTACAGATGTTCATAATAGATGTGATGAAATGCTGACAGGCTGGAGGGAAGGGAACTGCCTTTTGGAGTTATCCATGGCTTCTACATAGATCTAACATGTATACACAGTCCTTAAGACAGATGGGAAGTACTTGCCTCTTCAAATCATTGCCCTGCTTCCTTGGACACACAAGGGTTGCTTTGCTCTCTCAGATAAGTTGCAGTCTTTTTCCTTGGATGGCCAGGTCCTCTGATGAGAAACTAACCTATCTGAAAAATACAGGAAAAGAAATAAGGAATCTCACCTTCCCCCAAGGCAAATGAGTTTTCCTCATATGCTTTACAGTATAGCTGTCCAAATGGTAGCACACAAAGGTGATCCAGGGATTTGGAAAAGTATGCAGGGAAAGATCTTGGATATAGTGGATAAAGTGCAGTTGGTAAAGGGCCTCAGCCTCTAGGAGTAAGCTTGAGAGGCGTCCCAGCTCCAGGAGAGATCACTGCTGTGCAGCCCACTCCTCAGCAGGGAGAGCTCAAAACCAGTTCCCTCAGGCTGTCCTATTTGTGGAATGGCTCAGAGTTAAATTACATGAGAAGAGAAGCGTGAGACTCCTTAAACCTGCAACTTTCTTTACTCCTTGACAAATTAGTCTTGGAACAACCACCTGCTATTCATGTGTTAATCACATGGTCAGTGTTCATTTCCAAGCTCACCATGCATCAATGCTCACCATGTCACCCTGTGCCTTTGTGGGTTTTCAGAGAACAGGTTGGAACTGGAAAAGTTCATGGCCTTGTCACGGCCTAGGCCATTACTCCCTTTGGGGCCTGAACCAAAGGAACACTGGTTTGGTAAGGAGCTGAGTGCAGCTGCCACACCCAGATGGCAGCTCAGCCCCTCACAGCCGCTCGCTCCCTCCCCTGCACGGGACTGGCGAGGGAATCGGGTGAAAGTGAGAAAACTGGTGGGATGAGATAAAGACTAAGAGAGAAAGCAAAAGCCGTGCACACAAGCAAAGCCAAACAAGGGATTCATTCCCCACTTGCCATGGCAGGCAGGTGCTCAGCCATCCCAGGAAAGCCGGGCTCCACCACGGTCACAGTGACTTGGGAAGACAAACGCCATCACTCCAACATCCCCCCTTCCTCCTTCTCCCCCAGCTCTGTGTGCTGAGCATGACCCCACCTGGTCTGGGAATGTCCCTGTGCCCAGCTGGGATCAGCTGTCCTGTCCTGTCCCAAGTCCTTGTGCCCCCCAGCCCCTCGCTGTGGAGTGGGTGGGGAGCAGAAAAGGCCTTGGCTCTGTGCAGGCCCTGCTCAGCAAGAACTAAAAGATGCCTGTGTTACCAGCACTGATCCAGCACAAACCCAAAGCACGGCCCCTACAGCTACTGGGAAGAAATGGAACTCCACCCCAGCCCAAACCAACACAACTTCTTACAGGATACACTCTTGTCTGTCATTACTACTTATATATTTGTGTCTATGTTATGAACGTTCCTTACTCACACATGCTTCAGGCCACCAGAGTTCTGAGTAGATTCCCCTTCGTCCTACTCTTTGCCTCTTCTTTCCCTCTACCCAAGCAAGTTATCCAGGGTTTGGTCCTGACTGTGATACTCTTCCTTCTCTCTCTTTTTTTCTCTTCTTCCCACAAAGGGAGAAGGGGACAGTGTGGACTCGCCATCTTCTGCTATTCTTGAGAATTTGTATCAAGCAGATCCAGATGCCACCATATCTTTCCAGGCTGGTCAGCATCATTACAACCTCAATTTTAAAGGTACTCATTGTAAAGGTTCTCATGTACAACTATGCAGTGCTGTACAAAGACTTAACTTGCAAACTCTCCCAGCTTTTAGAAGCTATGACTTCCTTTCCTGACGCTACCATTTCACTTATTGGAAGGGGAAGTGAGGTAGTGACCGTCCAGAGAAAATTCCTTACAAAAATAACCTTCTTCACCCTTATTCCTTGACACTCTCCAGACTCACATATGACCAGAAATAAAAAGATTCACAGTCTTCACATAAAGTCATAGTAAACTTTAAGTAAAGTGAATTAACTCTGTGGATGGTAAAAAATACAAATCAAGCATCTTTGTGCTGCTGGAGTAACATTTAAAGAGTATGAGGGGCTTGAGGGAGCAAGCAAGATAGGCACAGGTTCAATCACAGTTACAGGAAGGACAAGAAGCTTACATAGGCTTTGTGCAACTATTCTTCAGCAGGTAGAATTGGTAATGAATATGCACTTTCTATTAAAGAATGCCTGTCCTTAATTAATGACCCCATCCTATAGATTTATTCAGTATTTTTTTTCCTGTTCTTTTTCTCCTCAAGAAATGACCCAGACAAACATTGCTTTTAAAACTCGAAGACAGGTCTGCAGGAGACCAAAATTTGTGTCTTCTGAAGATGTGCAGAAGATAAAGAAAGGGTAAATTATGCTCTTTATGTTGTTGTTTTTTCCATATTTCAGAAGTGATTATAGGGCAAAATGGCTGCCAGTGCTGGCAGTAATTGTGCCAATTGTGTTGGGAGAAAGCACATCCCTGGCACTGAACAGAGGCTGTATCACAAACTGTTGGCTTGGTGCATCACCTGGCATCTGGGGCACATGTTACTCCGGGTACCACGGCCACAGTTGTTACTTAGAAGAGCAAGTGCAAGAGGCCTGTGATGGTGGAGTGGCATCGTGCAAAGCCCAGCTCACAGTCTGAGGCCATTTCCCAGTTTCTTCGTGGTTTATCTTGTTAATTTTTAAATGCAGGAATTGGCCAAAGGGAATGCTGCAAATTTGAATGTTCAGAGCAGTACTAGAATTACTAATTACTTAATTTTCTGTCTGTTTACAAACAGCCAGAGGGATTCTTCTATTCCAAATCAAGCCTGTCCTAGCCACTGGGATCAATCTGCACTGCCTGACTTGGGATACAAGGTATCT